AGGCAGGAGTCTCCCATTTCCATAAAGATGACATGTAGCCGAGATCCTCCCACTGGAAGTCAAAGTTGGAGGCTAACTATCTGTCATAGGGAGTCCGGTCCACAAGCAGATGAGGAAGTTACTAGTGCCCTTTCCTAAGGTGCTAATTCCAGTCCCAGGGAGCTCAGCAGCATCTTGGCTGGGTCACTGAGGGTCCATAACATTTTTAAATGGCTTATAGCAAACATATGGCAACAAACAATCCAGATCCTTCTACTGGTAAAGCACAGGCCCTCTCATTTGTACTAATGGAGAATCCCCACTGACTGGAGTCAAAGGTCTCTGACACACAGAGCAGCCCTGACTGCACCCAAAAGAGGGCAGTGGTGCTACATGCAAACCAGCCAGGTGTTTTCCCACTATCTAGCACCCTTCCTCTTGAGACTGTGCTTCACTTAATTAAATTCAATCCTCTGAATTGAACTCTCATCCCAGATGCTCCCGGGTGGATTTGTGTCACTGCCTCCATTTTGCAGAAAATAAGGCCCAGGTTGAGGAAGCGACTCATCCAAGTGCATAGAGACCAGGAGCTGAGACTCCTCATACACAACACTGGCCATGCTCCCCTGCTGCAAAACAGCTTCTTGGTAGCCCCCAGCCACACACACTATCTCTTTCATATGGACATGCACCTGCAACATGCACACACACTCTCAGGTACATTGTTGGCCTAGCCTGGGTCCCACAGGGACACACACTGGCAAGGCTGGTGGTGGGAGGAGTTCCACCTGCCCCCTCCACCTGGATGAAGTGGAGGTGGGCAGGCGTCAATAGGGCTGCCTGGGAGCTCTGGGAAGGGGAACCTCCAGCTTTCATTTAAAACAACCCTTTCCCTTGGGAAGAGCCTTGAAAAGGTTACTGTGGCTAAATCATGTAAAACAACAGCTCAGAGCAAAAGGAGTGTGAAGTCTGGCGTCCGTCCTGCACTATCAATGCACTTTTGCTGGCGAGCCAGGTACTGAAGTGTGGGGTGCTCTCCAGCAAACAATCTCTTCACAGTCCTCAGCCTGTCTGGACACAAGCCTGAGACCATTGCTGATGGAGAGCAGAAGCATCTGAGGAAGCTGACCAAAATAGCTTGTAACAGGGTTCATGTGCAAAGGCTGGGACTATTCATTCCAGTGCTCAGCTCTGAGTCTGCAAGGGGAACTCGCCTTCTGCATTCCCCTGACAAGGTACAATCGCAGCACTCAGGGGAGGCATCACGTCATCCCTGACCTCATAAGCCAGCCCAAGAACAAAAGATACAGGGCCAAGCTGCTTCTGCACTGAGAACCCTCTACTGACTTCAGGCCTCATTTCTCTATGCCCCCTCAGCCCAGAGTCTACTGAGCTGGTACTAGCAAGGACTCTGGGGTGCATTTGTCCATCCCTCAGAGTGGGGACACCTTCAGCTACCTTCTGCAAGAAAAAGGCTTATTACCCAGCATGATCAGGAGGGACCTGCTCCCCACATGACAAAACCAGACCACAACCAGAGACTGCAGGTTCATGAACCTGCAACTCAAGTTGAGGGAAACTCAGCAAAAAAGCATGGTGAGACACCTAGGAGGTGGGAGGTGTGCGGCCAGAGCAGGAAGAAGTGAAGGCTGTTTTTAGGAAGGCAGTGATTTTAACCCAATCCATGCTGTGTTTGGTGGTGTGATTTTAGGGAACCCTTTGGAAACAACATGCTCCAGCAGAAGCAACATGTTCAGATTACTCAGTCTGGCCCCCAAGGGAGCACTTGCGACCCCCTCAGGAACCACAGAACCGCCATCTCCCAGCGTTGGAGAGAGGAAGGAAGGACTTTTCAAGTGACAAGATTTGTATCCAACTCTTGTCTCTGCCCAGACTCACTGTGTATGCCAAGTCACTTGGTCCCACCATGCCCCTGTTTCCCTCCTGTATGGCGGGGACAATGACTCCAACCCAGCTTCCAGAGGGATGGAGCCACAGGACTCAGCCTACTAATCAAAAGGCACAGGTATGGCACACAATCCTTTATCAGGCCTCTTATGTCCCCTTTGTTCTGTGCTTTCCAGGGATCCAGGAGAGAGCAGGCTTCCCAGCCATACCAGCCAGTGGAAGGAGCCAAGTGCTTCCTCCTGAGGCCCCTCCTGATAACTGTGCTGGCTCCCAGGCAGAACAAGGGCTGCATTCTCCTCATTATCTCCACTCCAACAACTTGCTTGTGACAGCACTGAATGGCTCTCGCACAGGCAGCCGTCTGTACCAGGAACTGAGAGACCCATCAGATATAAACAGGTCGCTCCGCTGGCCAAAATAAGCCCAATGTCCTGAAGAAAGGGCTGCCTGTAAAGGCAGGGCCGCTCACCTCTACTGGGCTTGTCATGTTTCCTGGTAAACTGAGGGAGTATTACATAGCTGGGCAAGTCTGAACTCAGACAGAAGACAGGGCAGGGTGGCACCTAGTTTCAAACTGCTTCGGCGCATGAGCTTTCATAGGCAATAGCCTACTTCAGCAGATGCTGTATGATCCACTTAGGGGGAAGCAGCTTAAAGCAACAGATATTTTGACAGGCCTGGAACTTTCCCAGCAAACTCCCATTGAAACAGGGTCTGGGGAGGACATTGCTTCCTTGGGACAGGCCTCCTGTGGAGCCTCACATGTGCACATCCTAGGCTGGACTTTCTGGAAGAAGGGTCAGTCCCAGAAGTACCCACATCCCCTGGGCCATGTATTCCCCCTTCAGCTGCTGTGGGGCTGGAAATGAGCATTACCATCAGTGACGTGCAATGGAACTGCAGAGCTTCTGAAGCAGAAGGGGCAATGGAATAGGTGCTACGTCCTTCCCGCTTGATCAGAGCAGGACACTGACCCATCTAGAGAGGACTCCCACCTCCAGTAGGGGCCAAAGCACCCATGCACTTTGTTTGCATAAGAGACAGAGACTTGCCTGGCTGATCCCTGCAATAATTAAGTTTACACCCTTGGGATGAGACTGGCAGGTCTGATATGCAGGGTACTCACTTAACACACTTCCAGGGCACCAGCCCCATGTGCCCATTGTAACTCTGCCCAACTCCTAGTGCCAGAGCCATTGATGCAAAGCCCTCATCTCTTTGGACCTGCTTGGAAACTTTCATGAGCTGTGAGAGCTGCTCTAATGCAGCCCCTGTGCACCAAGCTTCACAGCTCACCTCCCCACCACAAACTCCATAGGGCAGGTGAGAGCGGGGTGGGAGATGGCCCAGACGTTTGTGGGGGGTGGGGGGAGAGGGTGGGATGGGAATGGGGCAGCATTACAGCCTAGACAAGGGAATCCTGAACCAGCAGATACCGAATGGGGGAGTGTGAAGCCCAGTGGTTTTGACCTGATTCTGCTCCTTCCCTCACCCACCCCGAGTCATGTGTCTTCCTCCCCCCTTGCAGCAGGGTCTCTGCTCAGTTTGCAGTGCACAGATATGGAATTCAAATCCTTCAATCCCAGCAGTGTTACAAAACATGCCTTGTGTAAGCCCCTTCATTCCAGCACCCACCACTTAGCCAGGGCTCCCCTTAGCAGCGCCCTTCAGAATAAGAGTCTGGCCATGAAGGAGAGTTTTTCATGGAGCCTTGTGTTCATTACCTTGTCCCACGGGGCAAATGAGTGAGCCTCCTTCAAGGGGAAGTAACACTCTTCTCCTATCAAAGCACAAGTGGCTGTGAACGGGTCTGCAGATATGAGATGCAGAGCCCTTTGTCACACCAACTGTGAGGTTCAGGGACCTACTTCCCATGCCCTACCAAAAGCAGGAGCCCATGGAGGTGGCTTCTCACTCCTCTATTCATCTACTGCCTGACAGAGCTCTCCCTGGCATCCATGCCCATGAGGGATCACCATGCCCTTCTCACCTCAGCCTGGTAAACTGGGGTGGTTGGTGAGGGGGACAGGAGGTGGACACTGGGATCGCCTGGTGCAACCTAACTCATACACTGACTATACTTTCAGGGATCATTTCTATAGTCGGTCATTTCTATACTTACCTGGCCAGGGAAACACCATATATCTGGGTCCATGAAGGCAGTTTTCCTTAAGCCCTCCCCGGGATAACTGTTCTTCTGGCGTGGTTTAGTACCTGCCAAGGCGTTGGGGTTTAAAACCGATTTTATGGAAATGGGAGGCTCCTCCCTTGCTTGCTCCTGTGGCCATGTGGTTGAGGGCAGGCAAAACTTGGGGGCATCTGAACCCGAAGCCTCCAGGCTTGAGCCTGCATGTAGGATGCCTGCCAAAAGACTTTAGAAATATCTGAAGCCCTTGGTGGGGCCACGTATGGTTCTGGACTGACTCACGGGTTTGGACTTGATTTAGCTGATTTGGCTTGGAACATGAAAAATGTCTTTATAAAAATACACTGACTATACATGCAGTCCCATGCATTCAGATCTGGAAAAGGGACACACAGTGGGAGATTTCAGGGCCTCACTGGAACCCTGTCTCCAGAAACACCCTGACTATGGAGCAGAGTTTGAGGAACTTAGCATTGTATATCTGCGTGTGGGGATCAAGTCCAGCTGGGTAATGTCTTACACCAAGAGCTTGCGATTGACTCCTCCTTGGGAAGGTCCCAATGGAGTGGCTGTTTGGGAGCAAAGTTAAAGCTAGAATAGGCTGTGTTATACAGTGAGAGCTCAGATGGGAGCTTGGACTCATCTGTTCTTGGTGAATGTTGCTGGCTGATGAATTTGATTGCACAAGAGAAAGGAGGGGAACTCGTGTTTACATGGCTAAACACCAGTCCTTGGTGCATGAAGGAGTCACTTGGGTTCAGTTCCAGTGCACTGGAGACTGCAAGGCCCTTTTAGACATAGCCAAGCGTGAGAAAATTGTCTTTTCCTGACCAAATTGCATGGGCAGGAGCAGTAATCCCACCGTTCACGCAGAGCTATCACCTAGGGTCCAATGCCCTGCTGAAGTCACCCCTGGAGGTACTCCAGCAGGAGGGAGCTGCCCCTTTCTTCTTCATGTTTGTACAAATCCAGCCAGTCCTCTTTCCTTTTTTAAGAGATTTATTTCAGATTCCAAGAGATTATCAAGAGGCTTCACCTAAAATCCCAGGGAACAATTTGAAGCAGAGTGTTCAGCACTTACCCTTGTGACACGTTGAGGTAAGATCACCTCCTCCCTGTGTGGAAAGCCACTTTCTTGTCTTGGCAGCCAAGATCAGGAGAGGCTGGCTGTCTTTCAAGCCTATATTGATCCTGCAAAGCCATTGTGCATTGCATCTGGGCTGTTTGGCAATTTTACTAAGTCAGGGTCTGCTTTATAAGTCGGCATGATAGGCAGAACTTCACCCATACGTATCCTCTCTCTGCAGCAGGATGATTAACACGCTCCAGCCACATTTCAGTGTGAAAAAGGAGCGAGCCACACACGTGCACTCAGGGGAAGCGGCAGAGCAATGTGTGGTGAAGCATAGGCCTTGGAGTGGCAGAGGCTAGGATGGCGGGGCATGGGCAGAGCTATGTGGGGAAGGCTGCCCATTACCCCCACATGCTGTCCCTCAGTTTGGTCCCGGTGGCCAACTCCCTACTCAGTCACAAGGCCAAATTCACTCACAGATTGGCAAGCAAACCATTCACAAACCCAAGGATTGGAATCATGAATGACCCGGCCATGCCGATTACCTTCCCCGCAGCCCTTGGGAAGCAGACAGACCCAGGAAGAACAACCTCCCCAAAGCCCCTGTCCCAGCTCCATCCCCATCCCTCCCATCCAGCCTGCAGCTTAGGCAGGGATCCCCTTCAGTGTGTGAGGACAAGAGAGACGGTTTCTCTGGGGGAGAGGAGAAGCTGTCAGCCCACATCCTCCACCCCGGTCTCCTTTCCCCAGTGCCGAACACTAATGAGCGTGGCCCTCTCACACAATAAGCGGCTTTTATACTTCACTAATCGGTCTTAGAATCGCCCCGGCTCCCCCTCCTCCACACACGCTCCTGCCAGCCAAGAGGCCTCTTGCCCCCTTCCCCGCTCCCTCCCTCTCCTTATCTGCCTGTTGCAATGTTTAATGGGGTCTCTTGCCTGTTTTTGTGCTGACTTAATTAAAAAGCAGCTGTGAGCGATGCCTTGTGACGGCCTAATCCCAGCCCGGTGACTACAAAGCTTTTGCCCAGGTTTCTTCCTGCTGCATTCAGGCCTCTCACTTGACTCTCTCTCCCTGTTCTAGTGCCTCATAGCCTCACGCCCTGACTCCTCCAGGACGGTTCAGCTTCTCTTGTCTCTGGTGAGTAGTCGGGACTCTTTCTGGGCTCTTAGTATCAGAGATATTAATCCAGGCCCCCCATTAGTGTGAGGGCGGGAAGCGGGGAATGGAGAGCAGGGGAGGACAACATAGGATTGTGCCCTATAGTCCGTTCTCTCAGGCTTTGCCCAGTCCTAGTTTGAAAAGCCTCAAGAAAGAGAGCTCTGGTGCCCTTTCAGGGGAAGACAGTTCAATGACCTGAGAGCCAACGGAGAGAGGAAAGCACTGTAATGTCCTGCATGGGTTTGAACTTCAGGTCCATTTGCTTCCCCTACTCTGGATGGGTGGATGGTCCGCAGGACTGAGCCCTGGATGCTGCTGCTGCCAATCCTCCTTCTCTGCTGCTCAGATCGTGTCTGAATCAGAAGCAGGGTCAGTGAGCAAAGACGACACTGGGGTTTACGGCTTGTCCTCCCTGCTGCACTCTGACCAACAGCTTCCTTCAGTAGCTGCCCATCAGGGCTTCTTGCTCCTGCTCAAGATACCTGTAGGAAGGCTTCCAGGCTTGAGCAGCCTTTGGGAAGAGGGCGGATGGGCTCTGGGGACGAGGCGTCTATTTTCAGTATTTGAGGACTCAATCAGAAAGTCAAGCAGAAACTTCATCCCACATCCAGGAGGTAAGAGAGAAATGGACAAACAACACACAGAGATTCAGGGGCTACACGGCAAGGACTGATAAGGGAGAATTATTTGCTTTCTAGTACATGCCAAACGGAAACCACACAGCAAGCTCTTGGGCATCCTCTTATCTGTATCCAAGGACATCCACCTGACAATTCTTGGAAGAGATCCTGAACTGGTTTGCTGTCCAGTGGGGCAAAGTCCCATCACAGAGCTGAGGTCCTGGCTCAGGACAGGGGCAGCAAAGGGGTTGTGCAGCTCAGGAGCAAAGTGCACTGGCAGGGCTGCACAAGGGCACCACCGGACTGGAACGTGCAGGCACCTCGAGAGCATGTGAAATGATCTCTGGACAGAGCACCAAGGTCTGCTCTCTGTTATACTTGCATGACCCCAGTGAAGTCAAGCATTTGTTTCACAGCTTTTGAAGCGCTTTGGGATCCTTTAGGGCTCAAGAGTTGTTAGAAACAGAAGGGAGAAGCTCAGATAGGTCAGGGCAGCTGCCCCTCATTGAGAACATAAACTGAAGTAGCTGCTCTGGATTACAGCAGGATGCTCTATATTTCTCTTCACCTCCCTGCAAAGATCCTTAGGGATTAGCCCTTGCATTAGAGTACAGAGAATACTGAAGTTCACAAAGAAAAGAATCAGAAGCAGGAAGGTGCCTCATTCCCAGAACCACCTGCCTGAAAACCAGCCTGCCACCCTTGGGACTGCTGCCAGACATTAGCTAGGGCCATCCTGAAGAGGGTCTTCAGAGGAATCTCAGGTCTGTCTGAGATCCCTGCTGTGCTGCCGGGACCTTCCTCAGGTGCCTCAGACTGGGAACATTCCCCAGCCCAAACAGATGTGTGATGGGTTAATTGCCGAGTCCAGCCAGCCCCATGCACTTGTAACAGCCCAGGCTGCATTGAATGCCTCCCTCTGCCTAAAAGTAGCGGAGCTAGGCATTTCTGTCTTCAGGAAAGAACAAGGTTAAGATGGAACCAGCCTGTCTGAGCTCCTGGGGTCTGTGAGGCCTCGTGATTACTTCCAACTGTGCGACTCTCCTCTACGAAGCTCCAAGGGGGAACAGCAAGTCCTTTGCACCTCTGAAAAACAAGGCAAAAGAGTGTATCGGACAGATATCCAAACTCCAAGGCCCTTTGGCCCAAGTGGCCCTAATGTTTCTCAGAGCCACTGAGTTGCTTGGGAAGGAGGAATAATTATTACCCGAGTGAGCTGAGGGGGAGCTGGGCATCCAATGGCGAATCCCATTTACATCCCTTCTCCTGATTCCTGTGGAAGTGGCCAGGCCAGGGCTCCTAGCAGGGCAGGTGCTTTGGGCTGTGCAGATGCCTCATGGAGAATTCTTCCTTGTCTCTTTCAGGACCTGTGGATGCCAAGGACGCAGCATGTCTGAAATGGTGAGTGCTGCTTCTGCTCAGCATCCCCTCCCCACCACCACTGCCCTAGCCAAGAAATACAGCAGCCAGATGGAGCCACCGCTCTCCGCTTGTTCACAGAGCTGCCAAGCGGAAAGCATCCCCTACCTCAGTGTCAGGCCGGTGCAATGTCATGGTAGCCCGAATCCAGCCAGGCAAGGTGATCCAGGTGAACAGCAGGGCTGGATCGGCACTGCTGTTAATAAGCTTCTCGAGAGACTGGTATGGGCAGAACTCTAGCAGCTTGCCACAGAAGCGCTTAAATGAAGTTCACTAGGGGACAGTACACAGAGCAGGCACAGTGGGAACTCTGGGGATGACGTGCAAGCTTCTCCAGAGCAGCCTGGAGAAGCTGCGTGGGTTGGCTATCCCGCCCCAGAGACTGCCTTATGTCCAGCATGTGGGTCTATAGCTATGACTGACGGGAGATTTAGCCCCTCCTGCCCCACACTGTCCTCCTGCCTCACTCTCCCTGGCCTTTTCTGGCTTTGAAACTAGCAGGTCACCCATGCTGAGCAGTACCACTGGCTTCCCTGGCTGTGTGGTGCCCAGCCTGGGGGCAGCACCACAACTGTACTGAGTTCATGTGGATTTAGCTTCCCTGGCCATACTGACCTATGTATTTCTGTGGCCCAAAAGACAGCACGGACTGCATTTTTCTCTGCAGCTCTTGAACAGCACCCACCAAACCTTGCCAGGCCCTTGGCACAGGTACTCCCAAGTGCAAAGCTGAACTGCTAGCACAGTCCGCCAGCCTCAGGCCAGCAGGCTTCCTTCAGAGAGGAACCAGGTTTCCTAGTATTCAACCCATGCTAAGTGCCGCCCCCCCCAGCATAGGGAACCCTTGCCCGTATCTGACCCTGACACAGGCCCCATTGCAACCTCTGCCCATCAAAACTCAGCACCCACCTGAGCCTTCCTCACAGCCAGAGGGAGCTCCCTCGCCGGACCCCAGCACAGACCATTACCTCTGGTGCCAGAGAAGTCACTTAACCCGAAGTCAGCGCAGGATGCTGGTCCAGGCCCCATGGGCATCTTTCTGGTGCCAGCGCTGGTGGTGTGCTCAGGGCTGCCTTAGGCCTGGAGCAGGTCACAGAGGGGAAGACTCCTCACGCTATCTCTTCTTGCTGTGGCTTTGCTCCAGACTGGAACGTTTCGAGTTGTCTCTGAGGAGGAGCAGGCCCTTCGTGCCAAACTCGAGCGACTCACCATCAAGGACCATGGCCCTATCTTTGGCAAGTGTGAGAAAATCCCTTCACACACCCTGCAGAAGGTGAGAGCTTGGAAGAGGGGTGGGGAGAGACAGCCTGGGTACCAGGCAGATGGGGCCAGCCCCTTCCTGCAAGAGGAAGGGGGCTCCTTTGACTGATCCAGCGCTGAAGATCTTCCATTGCCCATCACCCCATAAGACTCTTAGCCCCACATTGCTCCTATGGCTCTGGTCAGACCCTGGTCTCTCTTCTGGATTGATGCCATGATCCTCACTAGCATGTAGGTGCTATAGGGCACACAGCCAGAGGCAGTGGGAATACTCCCTAGACTCAGCTGCCTCGTCCCCTGGGAGCAAATCCCATCTCTCTGCCACCTAAAGTGGGTTTTGGGGTCATTGCAAGGTGTCCCTGCTGGCCAGCAGAGCGGGTAGGGAGAGCCTTTGAGACAGCAGCTGTGGCTTCCAGCCCTGCTCCCCTCCAGGATGCTGTGCAGCTGAGGTCCTATCCACATAAGCACACCCGTTCCTGATTCAGGCACTGGTCTCCCTCCACCCTGCCCCAGGCGAAGGACGAGCTGAATGAGACTGAGGAGAGGCGGGAGCCAGCACTGAAGGAGCTGCGGGAACTGGTCCATGCAGGAGCCAGCGGGCAGGAGGAGCTGGGCAAGGCAGTGGCAGAGAAGGTGCAGGGAAAGGATGACTCCTTTTTCCTCCGCTTCATCCGTGCCCGCAAGTTTGACACCCACAGAGCTTATGAGCTGCTCAAAGGTGGGTGCCCCCTGCTCTCCCCTTGCCCCCAGTCTGGGGGGACAAGGCCACTCCCTGCTCCTGGGGCACATTCATATTCCTCAGAGTGAACGCTGTGGCCTGCATCCCAGCCGCAAGGCCAAGTCTATGTACTTAGCAGGAGCTGGCATAAGATGCAAGCCCTTCATGACAAACTGATCAGTGTCCCTCTCCCTGCAGAAAGGGGCTGATGTTCACAGCTCTCACCGCTGCCACTTGCCCTAGCAAACTCCATCTCTTGGGACTGGGGTCATATGGAGGACCAGGACTGGGGAAGGCTGGCGGTCACTGAGGCCAGGCAATGGTGGGAGCAGTGGGGAGGACTGGTGCTGGTTGCTCAGCTCTGCCTGTAGGATGGTCACAGGGACATGGGTAGCAGGAAACTGAGGCATTTGCGTGTCCTGGTCCGGGCATCACGGGCTGGAACAGGGGGCCTAGGGGGACAGAAGGGAGGTCTCAGCGTGAGGTAGCTGTAGCCCCTGTGCTGTCTGGCTCCAGCTCCAGGCTTCTTTGTCTCTGTCCCATTGATAATGAGGCTGTAATTAGTGGTGTTGGCACAGGGGCTGAGCAGAAGCTTCTTCCCAGAGTGAGTTTCCTCATTGCCCTTAATGACCACGGACTGCCAGGGAAAGTAGGCTGAGGGTGGGGCTGGCATAAGGGAGGGAGGCAGAAGGACTCAGCTCTGGGGGAAGAGAGACAGCAGGGACAAAAACATCACACTGGTACTTGAGGGGGAGAATGGGGCTGGGGGCAGCCAGATTGGGAGAGCAGCCATATGCTAGGCAGGGGGAGGCTGTGGCTGGCTCTCAGACTAGGCGCTCTCAGAGCCTGGTGGGAAGCCGGGGAGGAACACTTTGGGCTGGGATCCTGTCCCCAGGGAACATGGCATCGGCCTGGCTGCAGCACCAGATTCGTACTCAGTGCAAGCTCTGTGTCTCTTTGTGACTGATGCGTGCCCAGCCTGATGGGAGCCCTGGGCTGGGACCTCCAAGGTACCCAAAGCCCTGCCACCGAGCTGCTGTAGGAATGCACATGGCACAGCATGACCCGGACCAGATGTTCTTGCCATCTGCTTACCGCTATGCAGGCAGAGTCCAACCGTTGCACTGGCACCAGGGAAGGGAGCACCCTCTCATTCCAGACTCTAGCCTTCTCTCTCTTGCTGCCTCCAGGCTATATAAATTTCCGCCAGCAGTACCCCGAGCTCTTTGAAGACCTGACACCCGAGGCCGTGCGCAGCACCATCGAGGCTGGCTACCCTGGCATCCTGTCCAGCAGGGACAAGTATGGCCGGGTGGTGATGCTCTTCAACATTGAAAACTGGGACTACGAGGAGATCACCTTTGATGAGGTTTGTTTAGCCCTGCTGGCCCTAGGGGTTACAGCTTCATCCCCTGGCAGGGGACAGGTCAAGCCCTTTATCTGACTGTGGGCTTTAAACACACCCACCCTCTCATACCCTGGGCCTCCAAGGTCTAAGCCAGTGGGTTCTCAACCTTTCTAGACTCAAGGCATCTCTTGGAAAATGTCAGCTCTTAATTTTCCCTAACATTTTGATTACAGAAAAACAATAGAGCACTTCTTCCATTGCAAATAATTCAGGAAGACCACAGCAGGTCAGGATGTTTTTTGACTTGCATTGTACCCTGCAACACCCTTGAAATGATCTTGAGGCATGCCATTTGAGAATCACTGGTCTTAGCAAAGCTCTTTTCTCCTAAGTCATGCACTAGTAAATAGGATGGATACAGCATGCCTCATCCTAAGGGATCCCAAAACATTTGCACATCACAGGTCAGGTTTGGGGGTGCAGGGTTCAGAGCACTAGCACCACGGAGAACGCTGGGGATGTCTTGCAGCTGTAAATGTACTTCATGAAGGAAGGTTGGCATCCTCACCCCCATTGTAGAGAAAGAGAAACCAAGAGGAGAGAGGACTTGGCCAATAGCATCCAACATGCAACAGGAATCTGGACTAGTTTAACTCGCATGTTTTCTTGGCCTCCTGACAGCACACAGTACCCCATCTTTGACTCATCTCTGTCTTCAGCCTTGTGCATATTGTGCACCTCTACCTTCAGAAAGGCAAAAATGGCAGCTGTTTAACAGTGTTAACATAACAATTACAGCAGAGGAGAAAGGAAAAAAAATCCAGATGAATTCAGGGAGGCAGAATACAGCTGGGCAGGTTGGAATTTATAGAGGATCCATCTCTGCCCTCAGGTGCCCTTGCTGCGCCAGTAAGAAAGCAAAGGCGGAGGCAGGGGGGCACATTTTGGGCTGGGAAGGACTTGTACATTTGTGACCTTGTTCCTCTCTCTCCCTACGGCTCAGATTCTTCGTGCCTATTGTGTTATCCTGGAGAAGTTGCTGGAAAATGAAGAGACCCAGATCAATGGATTCTGCATCATTGAGAACTTTAAGGGCTTCACCATGCAGCAAGCATCTGGCATCAAGCCTGCTGAGCTCCGGAAGATGGTAGACATGCTGCAGGTGAGGACGTGCTTCTGCTGCCCCAACCAGGCACCAAGAGGTAGACACAGGTGTGGAGTACTCAGAGGAGGTGGGGCTCAGAGCAGCAATAAGGGCATTCTGCAGGCCTGTGTGGGGCTCACCTGGGACCAGACTGGCTCAGGGAGGTAGAACCTCAAGGTAGGAGCTCTTGGCTATATAGCATAGCGCTGCATGAATGGGCACCACTGTGCTAGTAACCCCCAGAGTTGAGTCCCCTCCATTCACTACTTGCTCCTCCAGAGATCATAGCAAGCAACAGTCACCAGCTAGTATTGCCAAAGGTGGCACCTTGTAGAAATGGTCTGGCCAGCGATGCCACCACAAGTTGTGGGCGCAGTAAAGTCCTAGTTCCCATGAATGAACCACTCTACCTACCAGAGGCACCTAGCAGAGCCAGTCCACCTGCCAGAGGTGCGTCTCACCACCTCATCTTTGTCCTGCCATGCTAGTCTGCTTAGCATCACTGTACAGAAATACCAATGGTGTGCAACGGTATTTGTACATCACCCACACATACTCCCAATCTCTCACCCAGAAAAGTATCTCTGGAAGGGATATTGCCACCCTCACAATAGGTATTGACTACCAATGTCTCTGTGCATGTAGCGCTAAGTAACACACTGTTGCCTGGGTTTTGGATCCACAGGACTCTTTCCCAGCTCGATTCAAGGCCATCCACTTCATCCATCAACCTTGGTACTTCACTACTACCTACAACATGGTCAAGCCTTTCCTGAAGAGCAAGCTTCTGGACAGGGTGAGTGTGTTGGGAGGCAAGGAGAGATGCATGCTGTCCCTGCAGAGGCAAAGGGCTGGGGTCAGGGGCTGCTAGCTCCCTGAAATCAGGGAAAAGCAGAGAGCCCAGAGGAGAAAATGCTGCCTCTGGCCTCTCTGGCCAGTGGCTTTTCTGCTCATGGGCAGGTCCTGACCGTGCAGGGAACGACAACCATGCTGGCTACATGACTGTAACACCCCAGATCTGGTTTATGGGCCTGTTTTGGCCACAAATGGTGGTTGTGTTGCCCTTTATCAGGATTCTCTCAAGTTCTTCCAGCCCAAGCAGTGCAGATAAGTATGAGAGAGTCCCACAGCTGAGGGGGCAGACAGGGACATGGTGTGATAGTGATAGAAAGC